TGAATTGACCAGCTGGTCAATCCTGGGCAGCGGGTACAGATCCTTCGGGCATGCTTTGTTCAAGTCCCAGAAATCTATGCACATTCTCCATTTCCCTTCGACTTTGGACACCATTACTGTATTTGATAGCCACTCTGGGAATTAAATCTCCTTGATATTCCCAGCTCCCAACAACTTATCGACCTCCTGCTCGATAATTTTATCCATCTCCGCCCCATGGTGCCTTTTCTTTTGTTTCACCGGCCTCACACTGAGGTCGATGTTTAAGCGATGCTCAATCACCTCTGCACTTATCCCCGTCAACTCCTCGGCCGTGTAAGCAAAAGATATCGACAAACTCTCTCACCAAACTAATCATCTTCGACCTAATTGGCTCCTCCATCTCTTTCCCGATCCTAAACTTCATCTCCTCATATCCCTCGACCATCTGGATCTCCTCAACCTTCCCTCCTGGTTGGATATCTACCTTCTCCTTACCCTTCTCTAACCTCAACCTATCCTCCTTTGATCTCGACCCGCCTGGTCGGGTAACTTCTTATTCTTTCGGCTTGGCCTACCTCTTTGCCAATTGCTTGTTATTGCTTATGGTTGTCTAAAAGAAACTCCTCGAGGTAAGCTGATCCCTTGTGATCTCACCAACGTTTTCGCCCACCGGATAGTTGATCGTCATATGGTACGTTGACACGACCACCTGAAATGCGTTCAAGCTCGTTTTTCCCATAATGATGTTATAAGATGATTCAACTCCCACCACCACGAATCTCACCATCCGCACATTCCTCATCATTCCCGATCCAAGTGCCACCGGCTTTAACTCCATATTAAGCTCCTTATTGATCTGCGAAAAAAAATCATAAAACATCACATCTACCGAACACCCGGTATCAATAAACACCCTCTCCACATCAAAGCCTGTCACTTCCGTCGTAATTACCAAGGCATCATTGTGCGGCAACACCACCTCGTCCGTATCCTCTACTTTAAAGCTGATCAACGACATGCGAACTGTAATCCCCACCTCCTCTCTTTTCCTTTTCACAGCTCGAGCATGTTCTTTTCTGGTATTATTCGAGTCGCCATCCGTTGGCCCTCCTGAGATCATATAAATCGTTCCTCTCTTCATGAGAGTTTCACCTCCTTGACCTCCTTTCTCTCCATCTCTTCTGAACTTCTTCTCTTGACCATCTCGACCATCTCTATTGCCCCCCTCCTCATCTCTATCACTTCTCTCCTCCGAATCCTCCCAACATCTTCTCCTTCCTTTTCTCTTCACCCTATCATGATATACAAACTCCTTCAAATGCCCTGCCCGAATCAACCTCTCAATCTCATCCTTCAAATGCCTGCAATTCTCCGTGATATGGCCATAGTCATGATGAAAATGACAATAGATATCCGACCTAGGTCGAGTCGGGCCTGTAAACCTCGTCTTTGGCCATGTCACATCCTGGCTCGACATCTTCTGCTCCATCGCCTCGAGCACTTCTGTCATATCTTTTCTTAAAGGCGTGAAATTATGGTACCTCTGTCTCTCGAACAACAATGGCCTCCCCTGCTACCTATCATAGGCGATGTTCTTTTCAGCCCACTCCGCCTGGGCAAACTTTGCCTCGGCGATCTTCCCCTTGGCGGGCTTTTTTTCTTCTTTGGCTCTGGTCGAGCAGCTCCCTCTAATTTTGCAAACTCCATCTCCATCTCCTCCAAGTTAATATACTTCTTGCACCGCTTCAAAACATCTTCGTATGATCGAGCAGGGGTCTTTGCCAATGAGGTTCGACAAGGCCCTACTCGAAGACTCCTTATCAACCCTCATTCCTTCACCTCATCCGACGCCGAGTGCACCTCCAAGCACGTTTGATTACATCGAGCAACATACTTCCTCAGCGACTCTTTCTCTCCCTGCCTCATCGCCATCAAGGTCAAATATGTCTTCTCCTGAGCCGCTGCGCTCGAGTACTGATTGGTGAGCTTACTGGCGAAATCCTCAAAGTCAGCAATCGACCCCGGAGGCAGCTGATGAAACCAATCAAGTGCTCCTCCGCGCAAGGTCAATAAAAATGCCCTGTAACATACAGAATCAGAATATCCATGCAACACATCCATATTTTCAAAAGTCCTCACATGCCTCGACGGGTCAGATGACCCGTCATACACCAAGTTGTTCTCCTTGAAATTATTCGGCAGAGGGGCCGCAAGAAATCTCCCTCGAGAAAGGATGTCCACGAGCTCTCCTCTCTATCCTCCCCTCACCCTTGTCCTGCAACTGGCGCAACTGCTCCGCCATCCTTTCCATCGCACGATCTCTCCCGCCTCCTCCGTCTTCATAGCTGGACACATCCTCGTCCTGACTTCCCACCACCGTGGTTAGCGCAGTTGTGGCGTGCGACGTGTGGCTCGTGACTTGTTGAACCGCCTGCGTCGCTGCGGCCGCCACCATCCTCTGCATCTCCTCCCGGGTCATCGCCACCATCTGCTGACCTGGGGCCTGCACACCCGCCTGTGATGGCGCTCCTCCTAACACCACCGCTCCTCCTGGTTGCGCCACCACTGGGTTCTGGGGCGGCGGCGGTGGCATCGCCGCCGCGGCTGCTGCACGAGCTTCCTAGGCACGACTGGAACTTGCGTCTCCTCCGGGAACTGCCGTCGATGCTTCTACACCTTAAAGGACAGGTGTAGGAGTGAGCGGCGTCTGCGAAGGGCCAGAGAAACTCGGAGAAGGGCCTTGTCCAATCGGCCTGGTCGTCGTCCAAGCGTCGTCGAACATCGACTGTGATATAGGATATTATCTGTATAAAGACGAACCGATTTGGTGAGCCGGTTGAGAAGAGCAGACCGGGAGCAAACCAAGCCGAAAGGTGGGAATCCAAGTGATCGAGCAGCCTAAGGCTCGACCACACAAGCGATCGAGCAGCCCAAGGCTCGACCACACAAGCGATCGAGCAGCCCAAGGCTCGACTGTACAAGCGATCGAACAACCCAAGGCTTGACTGCACAGGCGACCGAGTAGCCCGATGCTCGATCAGAATTATCGAGCATACCCATTAATCGATCAGATGAATGATCGAACAAGCTGAGTGATCGAGCAAGCTGATCAACATAAGCCCAGACGCGTGTATAGCAGACGCGCGTGAGGATCTCTGACTGAGCTTCAGGAGAATATTTACCCCATGTGCCGGGTGGGCATGTGTCGACAATATATTGGGTGATAGCGATAACCACCTCTGATAGCTCCCAACGCCTTGCGCCACCTCTGACGTGTGTGCGGCGTGTCAGAGTACGGACGGGCAGCTTGGGCAGCCAGCTTAGCCTTATCCGGGTAGCTATTAGGGCAGGTATCTCACCCCTATATAAAGGGGGTGAGCCTTTCTTCCTTAACACATTCTATTCATTCTCTAAATTCCAATATACTCATACACATACTGACTTAAGCATCGGAGGCTCTTCACCGGACCCAACCCCCGGTGTGAGAGTTATTTGCAGGTCTCCGGCGTTCTACCGGCGAGGACAAGAACCGATCTACTCCAAACCGGACCCGGACGCTTACACTTGCATTATTGGCGCCGTCTGTGGGACTCTTTGTTCAAAAAGTTGTGTTTGAAGCTCAGCTATGGCAGACGGAATCCCTAGAAATTTGCAGTCGATGAAGCTTGGACGACGACCAGGCCATTAGGGCACGACCCTCCTCCGGGTTTTTCTGGCCCATCGCAGACTCCGGTCACTCCCGCACCTAATTTCCAAGGTGTAGGAGCGACGACGGTGATTCCCGGCGGAGACGCCAGCTCTAGTCAGGCCCAAGAGGCTCGTTTAGCAGCGGCAGCGGCGATGCCGCCACCACCACCACCAGATCCAGCACAACAGCAAGGAGGAGTGCAGGCACAAGGAGGAGTGCCACCGCAGGTTGCCGTACAAACCCCGGGCCAGCAAGTGGTTACGATGACCCGGGAGGAGATGCAGAGGATAGCAGCGGCCGCGGCGGCGCAGGCGGTGCAGCAGGTCGCAAGTCGCACATCGCACGCCACCACTGCGCCGGCAACAGCAACGGGGAACCAGGATGAGGATGTGTCTAGTTATGGAGAAGGAGGAGCTGGAAGAGATCGGGCAATGGAGAGGATGGCGGAGCAGTTGCGTCAGTTGCAAGATAAGGTGGAGGGGAGGCCAGAGAGGAGAGCTCGAGGACATCCCTTTTCAAGGGAGATTCTCGCTACTCCTTTGCCAAACAATTTCAAGGAAACCAACTTGGTGTATGACGGGTCATCTGACCCATCGAGGCATGTGAGGACCTTTGAGAATATGGTTGTGTTACATGGATACTCTGATTCTGTTTGTTGCAGGGCATTCTTGTCGACCTTACGCGGAGGGGCGCTTGACTGGTTTCATCAGTTACCTTCGGGATCGATTGCGGATTTTGAGGATCTTGCCAGCAAGCTCACTAATCAATATTCGAGCGCAGTGGCGCAAGAGAAGACTTATTTGACCTTGATGGCGATGAAACAGGGCGAGAAGGAGTCGATGAGGAAGTATGTTGCTCGATACAATAAAACATGTCTGGAAGTGCACTCTGCTTCAGATGAGGTGAAAGCGGGAGGATTAATTAGGAGTCTTCGAGCAGGGCCCTGCCGAACTTCTTTGGCAAAGACCCCGGCTCGATCATACGAGGATGTTCTAAAGCGATGCAGGAAATACATTAATCTGGAGGAGATGGAGATGGAGTTTGCAAAGCTCGAAGGGGTGTCCCAACCAGAACCAAAGAAGGAGCAGAACCACCCGAGGGGGAGATCACCAAGGATAAACTCGCCTAAGAGGAGCGAGCGGAAGAGAGCGTCTCCTCGAAAAGGGAGTGGGGATGCGAGAGGGGAGAAGAGAGATGAATGGCAGAGGAGGCCGATGGTGTTCGAGAGGCAGAGGTATCACAACTTTACTCCTTTGAGGAAAGATATGACAGAAGTGCTCGAGGCCATGGAGCAGAAGATGTCGACTGAGGACGTAACTTGGCCGAAGACAAGGTTCACCGGTCCACATCGGCCCCGGTCGGATTTGTATTGTCGATTTCACAAGGATTACGGCCATACTACGGAAAACTGCAGGCATTTGAAAGATGAGATTGAGAGGTTGATTCGGGCAGGATATCTGAAGGAGTTTGTCTATCACGACAGGGTGAGAGGAAAAGGCAGGAAGAGATGTAGAGATGATTCCGAGGAGAGGAGTGATAGAGATGGAGAAGGAGATGGAGGGGATGGTCGAGGAAAGAGGTCGAGAAAGGAGGAAGATAGAGAAGGGCAAGGAGGAGGAGCCCCGCCGAAGAGAGGAACGATTTACATGATTTCTGGGGGGCCAACAGATGGTGACTCGAACAGATCGAGGAAGGAGCATGCGCGAGCGGTGAAGAGAAAGAGAGAGGAGGTGGGGATAACAACGCGTATGCCAGTAATAAGTTTTAAGGCGGAGGATGCCGAGGGGGTAGTTTTACCGCACAATGACGCTCTGGTGATAACCGCGGAGGTCGCGGGTTTTGATGTGAAGAGGGTGTTTATTGATACCGGGAGTTCGGTGGATGTCATATTCTATGATTGCTTCGTGCAGATTAACAAGGAGCTGAATGTGGAGCTGAAGCCGGTAGCCACGGCGCTTTACGGCTTTAATGGAGGAGAGGTTATGCCAATGGGGGAGGTCAGTTTGCCCGCGGCGCTGGGTTCAGGGGAGTTGAGAAAGGTGCGCATGGTGAGATTCGTGGTGGTAGGGGCTGAGTCATCCTATAACATCATAATGGGGCGGACGAGCTTGAACGCATTCCAGGCAGTCGTGTCCACGTACCACATGACGATTAAATATCCGGTGGGCGAAAACGTAGGGGAGATTGCCGGGGATCAACTCACTTCGAGAAGCTGCTACCAAACAACAGTTAGCAATAACAAACAATTGGCAAGGAGACAGGACGAGTCGAAGGGAGAGGAAATCAATCGACCAGGAGGATCAAGGTCGAAGGAGGAGAAGCAAAAAGTGGAGAAGGGTAAGGAGAAGATGGACATCCAGCCTGGAGGAGAGGTTGAGGAAATTCAGATGATCGAGGGATGCGAGGGTAGAAAGTTCAGAATCGGGAAGGATCTGGAGGAGCCCATTCGGTCGAGGTTGATCGATTTGGTAAGGGAGTTCGCTGATATTTTTGCCTATACAGCAGAGGAGTTAACGGGAATAAGTGCGGAGGTGATCGAACATCGACTAAATATCGACCTCAGTGTGAGGCCGGTGAAGCAGAAAAGGAGGCACCATGGGGCGGAGATGGACAAGATTATAGAGAAGGAGGTCGAGAAACTATTGGGAGCGGGGCATATTAAGGAGATTCAGTTCCTGAGTGGCTATCGAACACGGTGATGGTGTCGAAGTCGGAAGGAAAATGGAGGATGTGCATTGATTTTCGTGACCTAAACAAGGCGTGCCCGAAGGAT